TCTGTGGTCAGACAAATCAAAATGAAATTATTTTTTGATAACATGAATACTACATCCCCTGGACTGAAAAGGAGAGGCACTTGTTATCAGCGCTCTAATGAAGAACCCACATTTCTCATGGTGTATTAGTGCCTATAGAGCTGTCAACTTATACAACATACAACATACATGTGCTCCTGTCCAGATAGCATCTTTATCAGGGTTTCGGTGCTACTGCATACCACTCTACAACAACTGAACTCTTCTTCTTTAAGAAGAGTTCAGGTGCTGCCTGCCAGCCATTTCAACTTTCAGAGCTGTTGAGCAACTATGTCACAAGAACATTTTTGTTTGGCCTGTCTGAACTCCTCTTGCTCAATTGCTTTCCTCTATTGACTAAAACAAAAGGGTTATTTTTATCTTCCTGGAGACAATGTTACAAAATTTCCTCATTTTCCGATAAACCTTTTACCATAAAATGATTTACATTTTATTGTCTTGCTTTTTGCTACCAAAGTGGACATTATAGTAATCTTAAAAATGTGACATCAAACAACATCAAAACAAATGAGATAATTACCCAAATTGTTTCTAATACTGAAAAAAAAACATACTTTCAATGTGTTTTTTTAAAATCATCTAAATAATTATTCAATTAATACTAATTATTATTTATTGTATTTATGCCTTTATTGTCATAAAGTCTTTAAAGTTTTGATTTTTGTTTTTAATCATTTTGGATTTCTTTGTCTTTCTTTGTCGTGTTTTATTTATCAATATGCCTGCTGGCATCAGAGCAAATGTTTGATAAAGTCATAATATTTGGAAAAACTGAAGATGTATGATACACACTAAATGCAGCAACGATTTGAGTGTGATGAGAGAAAAGTAGTAAAACCAGAACAAACCTAGTATATAAAAAAAGGTTAAGAACCCCACAAGTGTTGAACAGCTGTACTTCTAAATGTTGCTTTTAAAAACAAACACAAAAAAAGATCAATTTGTGTATTCAGTTCTTTTAATTGTTTAATTGTTCAATTTAATTGTTGTAATAAGATTCAACACAGTTAATGTCTGCTCATATCAAGTGGAAACTATTATCTGAGAGAATTCCCCTTTATTCCCCAGATGTATTTAAGTTGGTCAAGACCAGGGGTAGGGAACTCCAGGCCTCAAGGGCCCTTTTCCTGCAAGTTTTAGATATCACCCTATCAACACATCTGAGTCAAACAACTAGTTCATTACCAGGTCTCTGGAGAACTTCAGGGCATGTTGAGGTGGCAATTTACCCATTTAAATCAGCTGTGTTGGATCAAGAACATACATTTATAAAAGTGCTTTAAATCAAGATTAGACGTTGTATGAATTAATTAAAATGAAAACCTGCAGACCTGAAGATGGAGTGTCAGGGAGTAATGTAAGCCCACTAGCAAAATAATACAGTGTAAGCTCTGTATTCAGACAAGAGGCGGAAGCCAAAGGAGAATCAATCAGGAGGAGGGCA